ATCGAAAGTATAATCTAACTTCTATCTACACTATAAATTGTTGTTTTAAGAAAAAAAAAGGTTTTTAGTTTTTTTTGAAATTTTGTATTATTATAAATTTTGGTAATTTAAGAAATTAATTTTGTTTCCGAAATTAAATTTGAAAATATAATGAAATATTTATATCAACCTTCACATTATGTATTTTCGTAAATTTAATGTTTTGGAATTATTTTGTTGTTTTCAAATTTTTTAATTTTAGAAACATTGGGATTTTTTAAATTTAATTATTATTTTTTCCTATATTTCTGAAATTTTATGGTTTTTTCTTTCAATTTGTTAAATTTTGTAAGTTTTAATTTTTTGGATTTTTTATATTTTTATGAAAATAATTTCAAATTGACCTCTAAATTGATAAAAATTTATAAAGAACATCAATATGTAGTTTTTAATATGTTTACATATAGTTGGTGTATGTCACTATGTATTATATAATAGTTTGTGTAGTTTAAAACACATTTCTATACTTGGGATGGTTTGCAACATATTAGCCAATACTTGGTGTAGTTAAGAATGATTTTTCCTTTCTGTAACTTTGGTTTTGGGCTTCATTTTATTGGTTTCTAAATAATCGTGTGGCCCATATGATCGAAATATGATCGTTCATATCTTATTTTATAAAATTTGATGCGTCAAACGTAATAATTAACATGATCGTGACACATGTTACACATGTAATAATTCATATATACAACATGTTGCAAAAACTAACCAACGGTAGCAGATTGATATGTTGTCCATCCACCAAGGCGACTCCGGTTTGATTTGATTATGGTTTTTCCGATACCGTCTCCGACAAACATTATCATTGTCTTCTTCTTCGGTATTTCCACATTCTCATAATATTCTCCACCTTTTATATAAATCATAAATCTATACCCAAAATATGGTAATTAATTTCAGACCTATAAACAACTTGGAAAATGACGTAGAATGATATTATTCCCCACTTTTTATATAAATTGTAAATCTTTACCCAAAATTTGATAACTAATTTCATACCTATGAATAATTTAGAAAATATAGAATGGTGCTTTTCATTTTTAACGTTTTTATCATTTATAGTATATTACTCACGCTAAATAATAAAAATAAAATGTTTTCACATATATGATTGGTCAAAATAAAGTGTTTCAACATAATTATAAGGTTGGTAAAAATCATTTC